CGTAGGCAACTCAGGTCAATTTATGCAAGGGCAAATCTTATTTTGAGAAACTTTGAGAAGTGTTCGGAACATGTGAAATGTACACTTTTTCGCTCATTTTTATATAGTAACTATTGCTTATAAATGTATGGAGCAATTATACTGTTAAGTAGTTGCGTGCTCTGCATGTAGCGTACAACAATGCACTTCGGTTGATTTTTAAATTAGAGAGGTCGAGGTGCAAGCGGTAATTGTGTCAGAAGAAATATTTTCAATTTTTCAACACTTTATAGAAAATCTTTGTACAATTTTAAATAGCGATTATTTCTGAGTGTCAATAGTATAATTGATAGTTGTATAAACAGTGATTTATTCCTAAGGTCAAGTTTTTGGCGCAATTATAGACGCCTTCTTTATAAATAATGTTATGTAAACTCACCCACAAATCTGGGGATAAAACTCATCTTGGTAAAATACACAAACCTTTATTTTCTAAAGAGTACAGTTTCGTTTATTTATATTTATTCGCCTGGCAATCGACAGGACAGGATAGCTTGATGAACCGAGTAAAACCTTATAGGACAATTTCCCAGATACATCACTTTATAAAGATTATGAATAAACGAATTCTGATTTTGTAACAGAATGGCGCACTCAAAAACCTCAAACTTGCATCTTTTCGAGTAAAAATTGATGTAGTCATGATTCTTGTGACAACTGTTATTTGTTTGTTAATGACAAATATATAAATTCATATTTGGCAGCATATCTGAAAACAAAATGGCGCCAATAAGTAAAAAGGCCGACATTGGTAGACCGTGAACTGGTACAGGAAGCAGGTATAGGTGAACCCTTCCCCTCTGCAGATAATTTGTGCAGACATTGCGAATTTAAAAGCATATTATTTATCAAGCAAAGTGCACTTCGTTTACAGCCTGATCATCTTGGCGTTTTCCAGTTATTGGATTTTTAATTATCGTAAGATAAATACCACAAACAATCAAAATAGCCATATAACATATGTCTAAGCCCCTTTTCCTATGACATTTTGTCATGCTCAATTTCTTATACCAAACTCAATTCCAATTTAACTCAATTTAACAAGATGACCTACATGAAATAAAATGATCGTTTTCAAAATATAAAATGCCATATTTGTTATGATAGCAAAAACATCCTGTGCACCAGAAATGATAATTTGTGTCATATCTGTGAACAAAATGTTGTCAATAGTCAAAATGGCCGACATTTAAGCGTCAAAATTCAATAATGTTTTGTCATTTTTTGTTCGTGAAGCTTGGGAGATAATACCTAATTACTTTATGATACTGAAAACAACTTAGGATAGCCCTCTTTAACAAAACCACCATATTTTAAATTAAAGATGGCCGCCGTGTTCGCTATACGATTCAGAACTCAACTGTGAAGGCAATGGCTGGAAAATCATATGCAAAGGGTGTACAGGAACATAAATATACATTGCAGGCTTATACTACTACCACGGTTGACATTATATTAAAAGTAAGGAGATAAAGTAATGGCTATAAGGAATGCAGTGCAATCTCAACGTCAAACTCAACATGAAGAAACAGATACAAGGATGGTTCTGCACTGTATGCACGCCATTACATATACTAGTTCGTAATATAGATGCTTTATCGGCGGCACATTAAGATAAGGTGACATGCAGTCATCTGTAGATGAAGAGGGCTACCTATGAAATATCCTAAATACATTCCTGTGCATGATGTTAGAAGATGTTTGTCATCTGGTCTGTATGAATTTCATGTCATAGTGTGATATGGTATCCTACTTTGAAATTGTCAGACACAGCAAAGTCCTTGGAAAGAACATTTGATGACAGAAATGGTCAATGACTGGTATATAATGTACGAGAGACAACAACTGTGGGAAAACACATGTGGTATTATTTTGCAAATTACAAAATTCAGAGTCACTGACAACGAATGCCTTGGTGTACCACATCCCCAAAGAAATGTATGGCGTCAAGCAAAACATTCCAACCTGTGTATTCCCTACAGAAACATGTAAGTATAGAGACAGTCAGTCACATATTACGAATCATTTAGACTAATGTATATCTCCATATGCATATGTTCATCAGTGCGAATAATGTAATATATATGAGGACAGGAAAGTTAAATGCTGGCCATATTCTATGTTGTTATTTTATAATAAATATCACAATATGACCTTTCATCTTTGACACGTGTACAAGTGTAGTTTATTAGACATGCGATAATTCATACACAGGTAGTAGTTATTCTGAAAGTATGCATATTCAATATCACGGCCATTTTGTTTTCTGCTGTGACATAAAAACCAGCAAAATACAATTTATGATGTGTTTATTGAATTTTTTTGGTAATTGAAACAAACTACATGAGTCTATAATTTTTTATCTTAACTAAGTTTTACTTTTCAGTGGTGACCATTTTGTTTTATTCAGCCATTTTGTTTTTCAAACCCGCCATACATCATGTTTATGGGATTCATGTTAAATACTGTAGTTCTGACAGTTTTAAACTTTTGAGTTGGCCATTTTGTTTTGTGTCCGCCATGTTGTTTAAAAATCATAATCCAGCAAACAAATTATTAGCAATTAATAAATGTTGTTTATCAACTTTTCCTCCAAAATTTGAAAAATTGTGTTAGTCTATTAGTAACCGATATCCCTTGATGAAATTGTTTTCTTGTAAATTGTAACTATTTCACCCCTTTCAGTGCGTTTACGAAAAAAAACAGCTATCTAAAAAATATTTTAAAATCTTTTTACTAGTATAGGAATAAATCAAAAACAGGCCTTTCTAATATTACGTCA